CCAATAGCCTTGGCACTAGCCTGGGTTGTTTGGGGGTTTCCTTGCCCCATTGGCCAACAATTCAATTATATGTAACCTGGCCCTTGAGGTCTCATTTGGCAGTGAGTGACATCTATCTGGGATTTTGTTTCCCCTTTTATTTGGTGATTCCATTTTATATTTCTTTCATATATATATATATATACATATATATGTACATATATACATATATACATACATATTTTAAGAAGCTTCTACTGAAGTAGGTTTCCATATAGCTCCTCAAATGGCCCTTAGTTTTAGCCATTCTTCCCAACAGTCCCTCCTTTCCCATCTCCACTTAATTCTCCCAGTCTAGTCTCCTTTCTCCAAGTCCATTCACTAATAACTAAATATCTATATGTTATAGTCCCCGTTTCTTAGGAGAGACTTCCCTCCCACCTAGTTCCTTCCTCTGACCTCTGTGTTACATGGGTTGTAGCCTGCCTATCAAAGACTGTCTCATTCTCACCAACAGACAGGCCGTTCAAACAAAACTAAACAGAAATCCTGGAGCTAAATGACATCATAAATCAATTGAACCTAACAGCTATTTACAGAATGTTCCATCCGAACATGAACAAATACACCCTCTTCTCTGCAGCTCATGGAACTTTCTCCAATACTTTCACACATACTTTCACACATAGCAAGGCTCAACAGATGCAAGAGCAATGAAATAAGCCCTGCATCCTAGCTGACCACCGCGGATTAAAGCTGGACAACAACAGAAACAACAGAAAACTTACAAACTCACGGAAACTGGACAACTCACTACAGAATGAGAAATGAGTCAAGACAGATATTAAGAAAGAAATTAAAAACTTTTTAGAATTGATGAAAACGAAAACCCAATGTACCCAAGTCTAAAGGACAAGATGAAGGGGATTCTATGAATATAACTTCTGAAAAACAGTTGGAGAGATGGGGCTGGAGAGACAGCTCACTGTTAAAGTATTTGCTGCTCTTCTGGAGAACCCAGGCTCCACCCTCACCAGGCAACTAACAGCTGCCTGTGACTCCGGATCTGGGCGATGCCACAGCCCTGGCACCTGCACTCACATGCACATGCACACGCCCACACGTGTGACAGAGTGGTCAGCGAGGAGTCAGGGTGACTTCAGACGCCTCACTAGGCTGGGCTAAAGTTAGAACCCATGTGTCAGTCCCTAGACCTGTCGATGGAGACAGTCGTGCACAGGCCTCTGTGGGGTCCAAGGTGGCTCCAGGGCTCTTTCTTGAGTATCCAGTTTCCAGCCGAGGGCTCTGGCTCCCAGCGAGCAATGGCGAAGCGCTCACGGAGCAGTGCGGTGAAGGGCTGGGTGGCAGAGGATTAGCTTCTGGGCAGGGTTGGCTTAAAGGATAGGCTCCCTCAGACCTGCTGCTGCTGAGCCCCAGGATTATTGTGATTTACAGCCCTGCTTCTCTTCAGCAGTGCTTGAAAGACACTTTATCTGCAAAGCCTTGTGGTGCTCAGGGGAGCAAGGTCTGGCTCACAAGTCAGGGGTGGGCCTAGGGCGGGGATAGCAAGATTAGAACCTTTCTCTTGGAGCCTACTGGTGCCCGTGGGTAAAAGAGACCCTGCAGACCTCAGTATCATCCCCAGGGCTCTGTGACTTGGATTCTCTACATGGGGGAGATTGAAAGTGTGGAAGGTGTGTTTTATCTGGTCTGCAGAGAGTGTTTAAAGTCTTATTAATATTTAATATTTAATTAATATTTAAGGCCTAATATTTAAGAAGAGTTGGGATAGTAAACTCAAGCACTGTTGTTGGGGTGTAAGTGGATACACCCCTCCTGAAAGACTGGTAGATATTTTTCAACTAAAAGCCAAATGCAGGAACGCCTGATGCCCATCCAACAGAAATGTGCGCATATGTGTGCGCATATGGGCACCGAATGGCAAGTACCTGAAATGGCACCAGGTGTAATAGACCCAAACTGGAAACAACCTACACGTCCATCAACAGTTGAGTGGATGATTATGTGAACTGGAGGATAACCATTCAAATGCTAAGGCTGCACAGCAGAGAGGAGGAAGGAATGGTGGCCCTGTGAATAAATCTGATCTGTGCTTAGTAGGAGAGCCAGACTCCATGCCCTGTGAGTCCCTCTCACAGAACTCCATGTTTATAACGTTTGCAACCAGGGAGAACTAGTTCATGGTGTCAGAATTCTGGGTGGACAGTTGCTTGCAGGGTGGATGTAATTGGAAGGGCACCCCAGGCTCCTGGGTACCCAATTCTGACTTGTGACCTCTGTGATGGGTCTCCACATATCTAAAGAGCCCTTGAGGTGACCACACACTTAACTGACTCGAGACATTTACCTGTTCTCTTGTTTGTCTGATCCCTCTCTGTCTGACTGGTGATTCCACTCCATCCTTCTTCCCAGAGCTCTCTTTAAGTCCCACCTAACCTCTTCCAATCTAGCTATTGGTCATTTAACCCTTTAGTAAACCAATGAGAGCAACACACCTTCACAGTATACAAAAAGGTTGTTCTACAGCAGGGAAGCAATGAACCTGGGCACAGTGTAATGCCAGCTTCTTAAAGGCTTGCCTGGGCCTGGAGGGTTCATGGTGTGTGTGGAGCACATACATGGATGTTGGCAGCTGGTAAGGAGATCTCAGCTCCATGCAGTGTAGTTACCTCCAAAGTCAGATGGGTAGGTCAGATGGTGAGGGACAGGCCACCATGTGAACCGCATGCTATTGGTGGCACAGATCAACCCTATTGTCTTAGTTAACTTTTCTATAGCCGTGAAGAGACACCATAACCAAGGCAACTTATAGATGAAACAGTTTATTAGGGGATCACAGTTTCAGAGGGTTGGAGTCCATGACCATCATGGCAGGGAGCATGGAAGCAGGCAGGCATGGTGCTAGAGCAGTAGCTGAGAGCTTCCATCTGAGGGGGAGAAAGAGAGAGAGAGAGAGAGAGAGAGAGAGAGAGAGAGAGAGAGAGTGCTGGGAATGGTATGGGCTTTTGATACCTCAAAGCCCATCCCCAGTGACACATCTCCTCTAAAAAGGCCATACCTCCTAATCCTTCCCAAACAGTTCCAGTAACCAGGACCAAGAATTCATAGAGGCCATTCTTATTCAAATCCCTACACCTAATATTACATCAGAGGGACAATAATATATGGTTAGGGTTTTCTATCATAGGGCCGAGGGAATTGGGGGCCACATGAAATTAGGTATATCATTCTTGTTTGTTTTTCAACAAAATCAGACTCGTGTTATAACTTGGTGTCAGAGTGCTTGCCTGGCATGCACGAGATCCTGTATTCCATCCCCAACAGAAAACAAAAACTCTCTAAACAAAACAAAAAACCATTACCATCCTTAATAAAACAATTAAATTGTCATATACACTAAACTATTGTATAAACTAGCATGCTTGTGTTCCAAGGGCTTCCAGCCAGATCACAGATGACAGTGGAACCCATACAGAAACATGAATGAGAATCATCCTGATGTGCTGGACTGAGTAACAGCCCTCAAAGTCTCAGGATCCTGCCTTCAGTAACCTGGGAATGGTACCTCAGATGGTCAAGGGTCTTTCCAGACACAGTTAAGCTACAGATCTGGAAGTTAGGTCTGGTGAGAGGGATAGGGGAGTAAAGGTGCTTGCTGCCAAGCCTGATGACCTGGGTTCAATCCCTAGAACCCATATGGTAGAAGGAGAGAAATGAATTCTGCAAGTGTCCCATGTTCATCACACATGTATTGCGACATGCACCAGCAATACATAAATACATACATACATACGTACATACATATATGTACATAAATGTGGTTTAAAAGGTTTTTTTTAATTTAAATTTTTTTAAATCCCCAAAAGTTAGAAGGTTATCTTTTATTAGCCAGGTGGAGCCTGAATGCAGTCTCCAGTGTCCAAATGAAAAGAAAGGAGTGGAAAAAAGAAACACAGACAAGAACAACTCCAGCAAGACGTTGCTATGGTCTTTGAAGAGAGAAAAGGGGGTCACATGTAAAGGAATACCAGTGAAGCAACTACAGCGCCTGAAGAAGGCAAGGGAACAGTCCCCCCCAAGCCTGAGAAAGGAACATGGCTGCCCTCATGTCTGGGCTTTGGCCCAGTGAGGTGGATTTCTGACCTCTAACTCACAGGCTGTAAGGGATCAGAAGTAAGTTAGAAACCAGAAGTTGTGTCTTCTTTCTCCTCATCTTCTTTCTCTTTCTCTTCTTCTTCCTCCTCTTCCTCTTCTTTTTCCTCCTCTTCTTCTTCCTTTTCAGCAGCCATCACAAAAGAATATACTGTTTCATCCCTTGGTACAAATGAGCAAAGCCGAGAGCAAGAAATTCCACCTAGGACTGCAGGGCTGAGTGTGCCCAAGATTCCAGGTCTGGAAGATTTTACTAAAAAGGACAGAAAATGTTCTACACCAAAAGCACCTTTGCACATGTCCTAGTGACACCAAGTGGCACTGTCTTCCAAGTCACTCAGTAGTGCGAGGCTTGGGGGAAGGAGAAGAGAAGCAGTTTGAGAAAGAGATGCTGAGACAAATAGTCCTTCAGGCAAGGCATCTATTGAAGCAGTCATAGGCAGCAGCGGGAGAGGCCCTGAAATAAGAAACTTCAGTCCCAGCAGATGAAGCAGGGTGTTTATTCTTAAAGGTTTCCAAGGTGGGCTAGAGAGATGACTCAGTGGTTTACAGCACCGTTGTTCTTGCAGAGGACTCGGGTTTGATTCCCAGTACTGCAGGGTGGCTCACAACCACCTGTAATCCTAGTTCCTGTAATCTTATGCTCTCTTCTGGCCTCCATGGGTACCAGACACATACACAATGCATAAACATACAGGCAAAACACTCATACATATAAAATAAATAAATCTAAAAAGAATAAAAACAAAAGGATCCTGGGGGAAAGGGAGATCTTTGTGTGTCAGAGATGCAGTCTGTCCTAGCTTGCTCCTCTATTACTGTGATAAAACATTGTGACCAAAAGTAACTTAGGAGACAAAAGAGTTTATTTCGGCTTACACCAAGTTCCTAGTGCATAGGAAGCCCTCAGTGAGTATTCCTCAATACTGGACTTCAGTCCAGACTGATGAGTCACCTTCCGTGGCTCTGTGTTGTGTAATCCCCCTTTAAAAGCCTCAGAGTGAAGGGGGAGGTCCCACACGTCACTGATATCATATCATTTTCAGGAACATCAAAACCAAACTTCTCAAGCTCTCGGGAGACACAAGATAGGGTCGACTCAGGAGTCTGTGTCCCTCTGTCTTTGTCTGTGGTGTTCGGGTACCACACTCAAAGCTCAGAGCAGGTGCATGGGCTAATGTCACCTTGACAGTTATGTGACTTTCTACCCACTCCACGTGCTGTACAGTTACACAAGAAACTGCCCATGTATGGTTATTCTGCCCTGTCAGGCAGTGCAAAATTCCAAAATCCTCCCTCAGGTTTCTCATAGAGAAGAGCAGCATTGTAGCCCCGAGGATTTCCTTGTTTAGGTGTGAATACTTTGCCTGAAGAGGGCATCAGATCCCACTATAGATGATTGTGAGTCACTGTATGGTTGCTGGGGATTGAATTCAGGACCTCTGAAAGAGCAGCCAGTGCTCTTAACCTCTGAGCCAACTCTCTAGCCTGGCCCTGAGTTTTTAAAATAATTGTTTGCCTCTTCCTCGCTCAGTGGTGCTGACACTCTCCTAGAGAAAGAGTTTTGTAGCTCTCAGGCTCTTCAGGGGGAGACTGCGGAGGCTTTGAGCCAAGTAATCAGGAATGAGGGGTGCAGCCCAGTCAGTTCAACTTCTACAGAATTGTGAAACCTGTCTTTGTGCACTGCGGAGAATGAGGATAATTGTAACAGAGCTTCAGATTTTAGTAGGCCCCCGGGGACCTTAGCACAACTGTCTCCAAGATGGAAGCACCATTCAGGCCAGAAAACTCAGCACATAGAGAGCACCACCTGAAAAAGGAAAACAAAGACCTGATCCATCAAAATCCAAAGTTCTGAGACAGTCTCCAAATATACTATATTTGGTATTTGTTTTGGCTTCTGTAGTTCTGTTTCTGGCTCACTGTTCCTATTAACTGCAGTATGTCAACCAAAAATATGGGTTTTGTGCTTAAAAACTCACCCTGAGGAAGGCTACTGGGATCCCGAACACCCAATAAAGACTGATAAAGATTTTCTATTGGCTTAAGCCCATGTCCAAACAGTCAGTCTTCTCTGGTGAATACCCACAACACAGTGACTCAAGAAGACAGTGTAGGTGAATACCCAGCTCTGGTCAGCAAACCTGTCCCCTGTCCATGTTCCGTTGTCCAGGATGTGTTTTGATTGAATGTAATCTGGGATGTCTCTTTTATCAGTTGCTGGGCTGCCCAAGCCCTCTGTACCCCTCCCCTTCCATTTTCCTTCTACTGTGAAACAAGATTGAGCGATGATCCACTCTCTCCCTCTGGGCACTGTGAAGCCTGTTAAATAAACATGTCTATTAAAGGCGTTGATCTGTCCCCAGCAGGCAGTAACTGCACCTCCAAGGCTGCAGATGCCATGGCTTGGCTGTGGATTTACTCTCCTACTCACCGGGCTTTCTGCCTGGCCAAGGAGGCAGGCCCCATTCTTCCTCAACTTCCCTCTAATCTGCTGTGTTATGGGGAAGGGAAAAAGAGGCCAGGTGGGGGGAAGAGGGCAGGGGTGTCTTTAATAATACTGTCAGATGCTCACACTCCTCTTATGCCTGAGAGGCATAAGAGCCTCTTTGGTTCAAGTCACAAATGACCAGGCAGGGTTCCTTTATAGATAGAAAACCTCACTGTAGCCAAACAAGCGCATTACCACAAAGGGCAAGCAGCCAAGATCTGAGACCTGGGATGCAACTCCCCACCACCACACCTCCAAACTCTGGCATCCCAGCCCCCTACCCCTAATCCTCCGCAACACTGGCATGCAAAGGAGTGAAGCCATGGAGCTCATGAGATGGCTTAGTGGGTAAAGGCACTTGCTACCACGTCTGACTACCTGAGTTTGAACCCTGGAACCCACACAGTGGAAGGGGAGAGCTGACTTGGACAAGTTGTGCTCTGACTTCCACACCCTGCTGGGGCACATGCATGTACCTGACCCTCAGAAGATAAGTCACAATTTAAAAAAATAAAAATAATAAACGAGGGCACTGGGAGGTAACTCGGAGGTTAGGAGCCTCGTTATTGCATCTTGGGTTCAACCCCAAGCACCCACAAGGTGGGGTTCACAGTCATCTGTCCGTTCGGTTCCAGGGGATCTGATGCCATCTTCTGCCTTCATCAGGCACCAGGCACCCACAGAGTTCACACACACACACACACACACACACACACACACGTAGATGAAACACTTGGACACAGAAAATGAATAAATCTTAACAAGTTAAAAACAAACAACAAGGGGCTGGAGAGATGGCTCAGAGGTTAAGAGCATTGCCTGCTCTTCCAAAGGTCCTGAGTTCAATTCCCAGCAACCACATGGTGGCTCACAACCCTCTGTAATGGGGTCTGGTGCCCTCTTCTGGTCTGCAGACATACACACAGACAGAATATTGTATACATAATAAATAAATAAATAAATATTTTTTTTTTTGAAAAAAAACAACAAATAAATAGAGTAAAGCCTGGCCCAGTATGGCAGACAGACATGAGGCAGAGTTTTGGTTGGGGAAGCTGGGCCCTGGGAGGACAGTCAGCAGCCCAGCTCTTTCCTCCAGCGCGGCGAAGGATTTCTCACCCGACCTGGCAGAGACCTATCTTGTTCCTGTCTCTGAGTCTCTGTATATTCCTTCCTCCTTAATGTCCCTAGGCTTCCTCAGCCTGGGACCAAAGCTGGGCAGGAGGGGAAGCTGAGAGCCCCTTGACCTTTCAGGGACCACAAGGGGATGGGGTCAGGTAGCTCCTTTCACTTAGTTTGATGTCAGCCTTCTGAGAAAGATTTTACTCACATCCGAGACTCATGCCGTCGCCTTCCCTTGAAGGTAATAGAGTACACATTGAGGCTGATAACCTGGGGTACGGTGGCCAGGCTCCTCCATTCCTTAGGCCCACTCTCCCCTGTGGGTCCCTCCTTCTTGTCATGCCCAGCATTCTGGTCTTGGGAAGAAACAGCCCGTGATCCGTGGCCTATGTAAACAGATGAACAACGGGGAAGCCTGTATGCTATTCCCAGATGAACAACGGGAAGCCTGTATGCTCTTCCAACCCTGGAGCAATTTATTCTGTAAACCTGCAGCTGAAGCTTCACCAGGATGCTGGGTGTTTAAAAAGGCCGTTTAAACATCACACCCAGCAGCTGGGAATGATCAATAAACTGCACCTGGTGCCCACAGTCCCGGCCCTTGGCCACCCACTCTTACCCCCACCCTGTGTGGTAGTCAATGTTGTCAACTTGATGGGATTTTAAATCACCTTGGAAACAGACCTCTGGGCGTGTCTGTAAGAGATTTTCTAGCTTGGGCTAGCTGAGCTGAGAAGCCCCACCCTAATCGCCTGGGAGAATGGAAGAAGTGCAAAGGTCATCCTCCCCCACCCCCTGCTCCCCAGTTGACAGATACAATGTGACCATCCTTCTCAAGTTCCTGCCTCTGTGCTTTCTGAGACACATGGGCTGCACCCCCAGACTGTGACTCAGAAGAAACCCTTCCTTCCTGAAGGTCTTGGTCATGGTATTTTATCCCAGCTACGGGAAAAGTAGTCACTAATACCTTGGGCCTCAGTCTTCCCGTCTCTATCATGGTGAGGTCTGGCCAGAGACGCTCATAGATCCTGGATTCGTGTCTAAAACTATAGGACCAGGGATCTGTCATCACGAGACTCCTTTAGGGCCAGTGTTTCTCCTGGTGGACCCACTGAGCCAGGGAACGCGGGAGCGGGATTTGTCGGGGTGACACTCAGCACTAGGTCAGCTGTCTCCACAGCCTGCCTGGTGCCTCTGTAGTGTGGCGTGTAGTACTGAGCTCCAGAGGTACCACTTGGGCTAATTATCTTCTCTCTGAGCCTCGAGGGTCTTTGTCAGCTGAAACTGATAGCTCCGGTCCTCATAGCAGAGGAGAATGGCCTTTGGCAAAGGTTTTTTCTGTGTCCACAGAAATGGAAGTCCCAATGTTTTGGCCATCTCAGGCAAAGGTCACTGTTCCTAGCCTGCCTTATATCCTTGTAGACCACTAACTAAGCTCTGGCCAATGAGAAGTGAGAGTGTCTGGGCCATAGTTAGTGGGAGTGCTTCCTTTGGAGCAGTTGGCTGTGCGATGCCTTCCCATCCCTCCCTGCGTTCTGCCTCCTAGAAGGTGGCTATTGAAGCCGTTTTGGACCACGAAGGCAGTGTCTATGGCTAGGGACAACAGCATAGCAAACTGGAGAGGGGACATATCTTTTCAGATCATTGATCTGTGCCTTCCACTACGGCTTTGGACTTACCTCAAGAAATCATTTCCATCTGAAGTCAGCCATAGCTGCTGGGGTCTCTGAGGCTCAGAGGTGACCCTAATTCCCACCTCCTCCCCCTGTGACACTCAGACCCCTCAGTTTGACATCTCAGGCCCTTCCATGATCTGATCTTCTTACTGTCCCAGCCTGGGCTCTCTTCTGTCTCCACCCCACTGCCATGCCCTTCTACCCAGCCAGGAGGAGACCCTCCCCCTTAAGGACCCTCCCCCTCCCAAGACACCGTGCTCCCTCTTCCCCCTGGCTCTCTGAGCCTGCAGCTCTGTCTTCTTGCCATTCAGCTTTCTAGATTTGACTGCAGACTGTGTTGTGGTTTTGCTCCACTTCCCATTTCTCTGCTCTCTTGGCACCGCAGGTCTCTCTCACACCGTGGGAGAGAAAAACCTGCTGATTCCTGTGTCTGCCTCCTGATCTGTGAGGCACCTGAGGATGGTCTCCATCTCCGCACTGCCAAGACCTGGCTCAGGGCCCAGCTGAGGCACACCAGCCGGCTGTGAAAGGAGCTGCAGGAATGAAGGCACAGGGATGGCAGATGCTTGCTAATTTGGAGGCTGCTGGGTCTGGTAGGGGCTGGGCTGAGGCAACAGTCTTTGAACCAGAAGGAGCTGGTTGGAAACTGTGGAAGGGAAGAACATTCTGAGCTGCCGCTCCCTACTTCCCCTTTGTCGCCTCCATTTTAGCTCTGCTGGATCCAAAAGGCCCTGGCAACACCATTAGGGATAGAGCAGCATTTTAGGGCTAGCTCAATCAGCAGATGTGTGAAGATACACTGGGCCCTTGCCAACACTTTGTACTTCAACCAGGGCTCTAATAGCTCCTGATAACAGCATGGGAAAGTCAACTGACAGGGTTTCACAAGCAGCAGATGTGCAGGGTTCAAGGTGTCTGACCTCAGGGCTCAGCCTGCAATGAACATTCGTTAACAGCTTCATTTTGCTGTACCCTGAGCTTCTGGTGGCTCTTTTGTCCCTCTCCCGCCCCCCGCCCCCACAGTGATAAAGAAGCTGAAGAGGCTGCTGTGGAGCCCAGGGCCCAGGCTCTGATACCCAGCCTCCTGTCCCTCATGCCACCTCTGTCTAAGAGTCATTGTTACACAATAGTTAACTTCGGATTTGAAGCTGGACACCCCCAGACACAACCATAAGGCTCGCAAAGAAGGCAGGCCTACTTCTGAGCCTCCAGACAAAGAGGACACATTTACTGATTTGAAAGATATAATCTTTTCTTTTCCTAGTTTTTCTCTGTGTGTTTGTTTTGTTTTGTTTTGTTTTTTGAGACAGGGTTTCTCTGTGTAGCCCTGCCTGTCTTGCTCTGTAGACCAGGCTGGCTTCAGACTTAGCGATCCGCCTGCCTCTGCCTCATCAGTGCTGGGATTAAAGATGTGTGCCACACCCAGTGCACATTTTTAATACTTCTTAAGAAGAAGATTAAATATTCTCACAATTAGAAGTAGTCCAAAGAGTCCCTCTTTGTCCATCAACTGCCAGCACCACTAATTCCTAACACCTGCGGCCCTGGTGCCGTGATGGAATCCCACATCCACCTAGGGAACAAGCAAGAGACATAAATGTTTTAAGAACTTACACTTTTCTCAACAGTGAGACATGTCTGCTCTTGGCAGCACCAATTGTTTCAGAGAAGTTGATGGGCATTGAAGAAACTCATTATAAAATTTGCCTTCAATTGATAAGGCTAGCCATTTGGGCAAGAAACTTCTCTTTTCTGGATTGCTTGATGGTATACTATATGAACTGGACATATAGGACCCACAGAAAAATGACTGCTGAACTTTTCAAAAGATGAGACGGTCCTTCAGGGTTCCTGTTTAGCAGAAGAAACTACCAGACATTCTGAAGGACACAGAAGAAAGCAACTGATGAACTTTGCCCTTGCAAGGCAGAACAGATCATCACATTTTCTGCTTTACTGAAAAGTCTGCCAAATATTATGGGTCTGTAGGCTGAAGATGAATGCCCCAACATTACAAAAGAACTTGGTGACTGGCCAGGCAGTGAGATGTCTCTGTTAATTCTAGAGTTTTGGAAGTTGCTTACAATGTACTTCCTGTTTACTTAGGTAATATTATGTCCTTCTGGGGTCTTTGATAGACTTGAAGGCAGATAGTTATATTTTTCTTTAGTTATGATAAAAGATAAATTGGATATAAAACTTTAGATTCACAAAGAAATATTGTTTTTTAAGATTTATTTATTTATTATGTATACAGTGTTTCTACATGCATTACTGCCAGAAGAGGGCACCAGATCTCATTTCAGATGGGTGTGAGCCACCATGTGGTTGCTGAGAATTGAACTCAGGACCTCTGGAAGAATAGTCAGTGCTTTTAACCTCTGAGCCATCTCTCCAGCTCCACAAAGAAATATTGTAACTGTAATTCTTGCTTGATAACTATTTTGCTATATGTAATTTTACTATGCCAAAGTTAAAACCTTCCTTTTTATTTAGACATAAAAGGGGAGATGATGTGGGATTGCCCTCTGTATGCTATGAGTATGATTATTGGTTAATAAAGAAGTTCCTTTAGCCTATGGCTGAGCAGAATATAACAAGGCTGGTAGATATATATATATATATATACACATATATATATATATATATGTAGAGAGAGAGAGAGAGAGAGAGAGGAGAGAGAGAGAGAGAGAGAGAGAGAGAGAGGAGAGAGAGAGAGAGAGAGAGAGAGAGAGAGAGTAGGTGAAGTCAAAGAGACGCCTTGTAACTGCCGAAGGAGACAGATGTTGGAACTTTACCAGAAGGCCACAGCTTCATGGTGTTACACAAATTAATAGAAATGGATTAATTTAAGACGTAAGAGCTAGCTAGGAATACATCTGAGACATTGTTCAAACAGTGTTTTAATTAATATAGTTTCTGGATGATTATTCGGGTCTAGGTGGCCGGGAAATGAAACCACAGTCTCTGCTTACAAAGCATGTTTATTTTAAAATGTCCAGTTCCTGCAGAGGCCTCAGTGTCTTGGCTCAGTTGCTCATCCTCATTCCAATACAAAGAATAATGGGGCCACTATAGAATGAACCACGGAGTTCATGTGCCTTCTTTGTTTGGATTCTGATCTGCCCACGAGCCTCAGAGCTGGAATCTTCAATTACTTCCTAGCCACACAAGGCTCTAAAAGGCTGGGGAGTAGAAGTTGTTGTCCTCCCTGCATCAGGCTCCTGTAAACACACCCCCATTGCACATTCTCTTGTGCATTGACCTCCCTGGAGCTGATGTTAGCTCACCCTTTTCCCATCAATCCCTTCAGCCAAACACTGTCTGTCAGTGGCACCAGGTCCAATATCTGTTACAGGCTTTTTATAAATAAAAAAAAAAATTCCCAAATCCCTGACAGTAGCCAGTCTCCTGCAGAACTGATTTGTGAATTTTATCTTCAGCTGATTCAAGGTCATCGTCTTTAACCAGGAGGTGCGATCCTAAAAGTCTGGTTAATTAGCAGATTAATCAGTTAATGAGGAGTCTTAAAATCACGGTTATGTCCTGTCACGTCTAATGTCCTTGCACGGGTGTCTCCTCTTGTGGTCCACAATGCTGTGGAAAACTTAGTGTTATTCTAGTTTTACGCTTTTTTTTTTTTTACACATTTAGCAATTTTCATTGAGTTATATTTTTGATTTTGATCTTGAAGCCATTCACCTTTCTTTAGTTCTCATTGTGTAAGTTTAAATCTAATTTAAATCTAACGCTTTTACAAGCGAACCAACCACTTTGGTGAATTCTGACACCCACCCGCGGATGAAGTGTTTGGGGTGGGTGTGCTAGATGGGATTTAAACATAAACCATTCACAGAAGACTTTTTATGGAAAAATGATGCACTCCCAGAATCCACACCGAGCACTTAGCCCTGTGCTTCCTAATGCGTGGCTACACATCTGATCATCAGACACACGAGGGGAACTTAAAAAAAAAAAATCCTTGGCTCTACCACCTAGGGACCTTGAATCCGAAGATAAGCCTTGGAGATAATCCTCCTGCAGCTCTTACCCACAGCTGAGTTGCGGAGCCACTAGCCTAGTCCTTCCTTGTTGGACGTCCCCTTCTGCAGGGTTCTGGCAAACAGATGTCCGTAGACAGGAATGTCTGTGATTCCTCATTCTCCTCCAGTGAGAACACCCACCTTTCAAGGCAGCCCTTCCCAGCTCTGTTTTGTTTGATTTTGTGTTTAGTTGTGTGAGGAAGGATATAAAGATGGGCAGAAGCCTCTCCCCCTGGGATCCAGTTTTAGTGTTCCGCCGACTGAGAGTCAAGAAACTTCAGCGCAACTGATGGAACCCAGGATGCCTAGAGAGCTGGCACTCATCTTCCTGGAGACAACTCAAACGGGATGTCCAAAGCAATCAAGAACACTGCTTCCTTAGGGCCGGAATGTCCGTGGCCTTGAACTGAACTGGGTTCACTTCCCTTTTCGCCTTTAAATCCGAGCAATGCCTCTGGTGAGACCATCTTACCATCTTACAGTTCCGTTTACACAGGAAAATTCCTTAGGTCAAGGCCAATATGTAGACCAGATCCTAGACTCTCACTTAATTTTTAAACTTTTCTTCATCTTTGTGCCTTATTGTAAATTACATCCTTTGAACACTGTAACTTAGAGCACCGAGTCACGTCTCTCTACCATCTATCCACCCACCCATCACCTATCTATGGCCATTTTAGAGACACCTAAACAAGACTCTCCCTTGAGAAACCTATATCCACACTTGGGTGTGTTCCGTATTCTTTCCGTGGGTCTCTGAATGCCTCCACTTAAATGCAAAGCATGTACTAACCCTTACCTACATTGAAATTCCTCTCTCCTGTGTAGTTAAGGGTCTGGCTTTAACCGAGCCTAAGTTTCTGAGGAGGTAAATTCCTCACAGTGTTGGGGACATTTCTGACTGTGTCTTCTCACCACCTGGAACTGCACACAAACCTCACACGTAGGTGAGCTACGTGCCCAGCCCCACACTTGCCTTGTTTTCCCGCTGGTGTCCTGTGACGTCCCTTCACTGATATGGCTTTGCCCTCTGGCAGTGCACAGACCCTGTCTGGTTTTGCTTTTCAGACACGTGGGGGGCATACTTTGAGTTCTAAAGGGTGACTACCCCAGGTCTTTCAGTCCCCGGATCGGGCACCAGCCTCTCCTTGGCTCCCTGGTTCTTGACTTCCACGAAAGGAGCTAGAAGCGACAGACACCCTGAGTGTAGAGTAGAGGGCAGATAACGCTTATCGCTGAGCTGTAAGAGATTAGGCAATGACCAATGGGAACCGGGAAGCACGGGAGAGCAGAATGCTCCCAAGGGTGAGAGCAGACAGTGGTCAGGACCCTCCTCCTCTGGGGAGACTTTGTACTATTTCCCAAGTCTCTAGAGCAGACAGCTGTTTCTGAGGAATGTTCTCGGGCCAGGTGATTCCGTCCATTTGGATTCACTGTTAAAAGAGGGGAAAATGGTATGTCTTCGCTTTTCACGAGACAGCTGGAAACTAGGCAATACACTCGTAACTGTAAGTTGTAATAAACTCTAAGTTGTTTAGTCATCTGTTAATGACTTCCCCACCCCAGGCAGTGCAGAGAATTTTGTCTCCACTCCCCCCCTTCAAAGTTATGACAAAGATCACACTTCATGACCGATCATAAAATCCTGCCGTTTCGTGCCTGATCCTATAAGCCATTGATTATGGGGGTGGTGTTCCCACTCCCAGTGACCTTCAACTCTGCTAATCTGTAACTAGCTGTCTAACAGTCCAGGACTCTTCACACCATATGGCCCCCAACCTTTCCCTATTGGGGGTCTGTGGTAGAATGTCCCAATGAGGGGGTGCCAGAGGGATAGCCAGTAAACTCCACTAGTAACCTCCACTAGCCATGACACCCTGCTAGGTTATACCTGACCTGTCTCTGGAGTTTTCACACAGCCCCTAGGCCTTGCTTTTGAGTTACAAAAAATTTTTCTTGCCCCATGTGAATCTTGACTGAGAGTTTCCCATGGATATAAAGCCTATGCAAAACTTGGTTCAGGGGAAACCCAGAAAACTGTGGTACCTCTTAAATCAGGTATTTGCACCTGGTGTTGTATTGTTGAAAGCTTCTATCAGTTTGAGATATGGAAATCCTCTAGCTAAAGTGTAAATATAAGAAAAAATAAAGATGGGGGTGGGGGGTGAAGGTAAGGCTTCGATTCACGGAGCCGGAGCCCCCTGCAGCCACAGTGACTAAGTTCATTCTCATGTGTCTCTGAGTCTTCATTTCTAGGACCCGCGTGAACCCACACATCTGCACCGAAATATTCACGACAGGGGTCACTTCCACTGTTTTCTTGACTGCATTTTAGGTTGTTTTTTGAAAATTTGTGTTATTTTAAAATGTCCAATTCCTGCAAACCCCTCAGAGTCTTGGCCCAGTGACCATCCTCAGTTCAAAAACAGAGACTGACGGTCAGTGTAGAATAAACAACATTGCCCGTTTTTTATTAGGAGTGTTTCTCTGCTCGCGATTCTCAGAGCTGGGATTTTTAGTACTGTTCTAGTCTAACAGGCTCAAAAATGCTGATCACATAAGCAAAGTCTGTCAATGATGGACTTTTGGGGAGGGTCTCCAGGTAGGAGCCTGGCTGTAATCCTGGGAAAACCCTGCCCCTCTTTGAGTCAACTCTTTCCATTGCCAAAGGCTTTGTCCTTAGGCTCTCAGACTTGAACCTTCTACTTCAGGGGAGACCAATCAGATCTGGAGGGTGCAGGATACTGGGCCAAGGATGGCTAGCAAAGGGAAATCTGGCTCTGGGGCCAAGATTCCTCAGTAGGGGGCGGTCCCGGGAGCAGGAGGAGCTTAGCTGAAGCGAAACCTCATTGGTTGCTCAGCGGATGCCCGGAGGCAGCTCCACGCCGCAGCTGGACCGACCAGAGAACGCTAAACCGCGCCAGTACTAGATCCTGAGTGAGACTCTGACTCTGAGCTCGAGCCCGCTGCAGGTAGCTACCGCCGCCCTCCCTCCGCGCTGGGGCACGGCACCCCTTCGGTCCCCGAAAAACAGGTCTCCCCCGGGTGTATTTGCAGGGCCCTTTCCACGCCTCTTTCCCTCCCCCTTCCTATCTGTCTGGGGGGTGGGACGGGCACAGTCCTCCCAAACCTCGTCTTGGTTCTATTCCTTCACCCTCGTCCACCCGGCCAGCTGCCGCGAGAGCCACTGGCCATAGAGGAGAAGCTGGAACCTGAGCACCTTTCGCTCAGGTGGGTGTTCCCGGGTTCCGAGCATCCGGTGTTCGGGAGGAAAAGCAAAGCTAGGCCTTTGGGAATTCAAGGATGAGAGACTTCTGTAGTACTTTCTTAGAGAGGTCCCTGAACCTCTGTAGTCCCCTCCAGAGTGACTATCAACATCTGTTATCACCTGAGGGCTTTAGGGAGGCTGGTGAAGTTAAGGTGAGAAGACCGGAAGCTGAAAAGCCGGTTAACCTAAGACTAGCCACTTTCCTCCATTCCTCCATGCAAAATGAAAGCGATGGCTTGGATCCTCGAGCACAGAGGCTTGGTGTGACCGAAGAGCAGTTTGCCACACACACACACACACACACACACACACACACACACACCAGGTTTGCCAGGGAGGGCTTTCCTGGTAGACATTATTTTCTGCATGGGTAGGGACATAGCTGCAGCCTTGTTTTCCTGAATGAATTCTTCGTTCCTCTCCCTGCACATGTGGAGAGAGGGTGGAAAGTGCTGGAGGTCAGGGGTCAGGCTGGAGCAATTATGTTTTGCTGTTGGGTGGAGCAAGACTCATGTGAGCCGGAAAAGGCACCGTGATTCTATCCTGGCCAGAGATGAGCTGTGTAGCTAAGTAGGAACCAGAAACGCTGCTTGGCAGTTGCTTACGGAAGTTTAGGTACTGTTTACATTTGACCGCAGCCGTTTTAGTCAAGTCTGATGTTTTCAGAAACGGAGTTGGCACTAAACAGACCCATCTCAGCTGCTACTTGACTTGTACCCCAGAAGGGTAAGCCCCTTCCCACTGCGCTCCCGTCAGTGCCAGGCTGGTTCCCGAGGCTTTGAGTATTCCGACGACTGCCCTGGCAACAACCCCAGGGGGCTCTACAAGTGAGGGAACTGAGGTTTCAAATCTCTAGGGTTCTTGCTCAGGTCCCAGACCAGCTCATCGGTGTCCTTTATGGAAATCTCCACGTTCCCTTAGCCTGTCAGTAGAGTAGCTATTGTGTCTCAGGTATAATTCTAGGCACCAGAACCAATAGAACCAGAGGCCTGAATCTGATGGGAGAGTGGAATTAGTAACGGAATACAGGTTTGTGTTGTTTGTTTCGTTGAGACGGAGGAGTCTCATTTTATAGACCAGACTGACCTTGAACTCCCAAGTGCTTGTTTGGTTATAGTCGTGGGTTATAGCATCCAGCTTGAGAATGGTTTATTTATGGTTTTGGCCAGAACTAAGGAAGGAAAAGTTCTTAGTTTCTCTTGGCCCTGCCTGTAGCCGCACTAAGATTTTATGGAAAGGGTGTGACAGGCTAGGAGGTCTGCATGTGCAGATTCCAGCGGTGGTACGAATTCTCGCAACTTTGCGTATCTTCTGAGGCTCTGGGTATTGTCATCCTCCGAAGGGGGCTTCCTGGAGAAATTCTGGTCCCTCGGTGTCCCTTTCCTCCGAGTCTGTGACACTAGCAGTGGATGGAAGGGCAGCTGCAGAAGTCCCTGGCCTGAAGGAGGAGCTTGCCGTCACTACCACACACGTGTAAAAACAGTCTGTGGCGTGTGAGGTTGAGAAGCAATAATCTGGGGGTTCAGAGGTGTTCCAAGGTTGGTCTGTTTGTTCAGACAGTCTGTCGTGTGTCAGAGATTGTCTTCAGACTCACTACGTAGCCAGCGATGGCCTTGAACTCCTGATCCTCCTGCCTCCACCTCCCAAGGGCTGGGGTTCCAAGGAGGTGCCCCATCGGTGACTGAACCCAGGCCTTGGTGTTAGCTAGGGAAGCATTCTCATCAGCTGGGCCGTTTCCCCTCTCCAGCTCCTGATTCTGGTGTCCCCAGACAGGGAACTGAGCAGCAGCACACAGTTGTAGTAGGAGCAGAGACGCGGAGATGTGTTGTTAAGGGAAAAACTGTTCCCAAAGGGGAGGGAGCGGGGCCGGAGAGAAGAGATTCAGCTGCTCAAACATTAAAGGGTCACAGAGGACCAGGGCTTTTGTCACACACTGGCCTTTCTGCCTCACGTCCATAGTGTGGGCTTTTCCTCAACCGTTTTATCTATCCATGGACAACATCATGTCTGGTGTGTCTCATGAGCGCCTTAAATTGCTGTTCAGAAAACACTGCGACGGGAGGACCCAGAAGGGCCTTGCAGAGCAGGTGGTATTTCACAAGAGACCCAGAAGAGGTGCGAAAGGGGGCCAGACTTGAGGGGGATATGATGGGTGGACCAGAGAGTTCTTCGGGCCTTTGTACCCCACAGCCTATGTTTCGGGAGGTTACGCTCCTTGGCATCAGTGGGCTTTCAGATAGCCCCGCCCACTCTCACCGGCTCGCCTTGTTTTTTTTTTTTTTTTTTTTTTTTTTTTTTTTTTTTTTTTTTCCTATCTGCTCCAAAGTCTTCAACATGCTGAGAATCCGATTCTTGGCGCACCGGCTGCTCTGCCTCCAGGGTCGGACCCCCTCGTACTCTACCGTAGCTGCGCTCCCGAACCCAATCCCAAACCCAGAGATTCGCTACAACCAGCTGTTCATCAACAACGAGTGGCGTGATGCGGTCAGCAAAAAGACCTTCCCCACAGTGAACCCCACCACCGGCGAGGTCATCGGGCACGTGGCCGAAGGTGACCGGGCAGATGTGGACCTGGCGGTGAAAGCAGCCCGGGAGGCCTTCCGCTTGGGGTCCCCGTGGCGCAGAATGGATGCCTCAGAGCGGGGCCGGCTGTTGAACCGTTTGGCTGATCTTGTGGAACGGGATCGGGTGTACTTGGCCTCTCTGGAGACCTTGGATAATGGGAAACCTTTCCAGGAGTCTTATGCCTTGGACCTGGATGAGGTCATCAAGGTGTACCGTTACTTTGCTGGCTGGGCTGACAAGTGGCATGGTAAAACCATCCCTATGGACGGTGAGCATTTCTGCTTCACCCGGCATGAGCCGGTGGGTGTCTGTGGCCAGATCATCCCATGGAATTTCCCACTGGCCATGCAAGGCTGGAAGCTGGCCCCGGCACTCGCTACAGGCAACACTGTGGTCATGAAGGTGGCGGAGCAAACCCCACTTTCTGCCCTGTACTTGGCCTCCCTCATCAAAGAGGCAGGGTTTCCCCCGGGAGTGGTGAACATCATCACTGGCTATGGCCCCACCGCGGGGGCAGCCATAGCCCAGCATATGGATGTGGATAAAGTTGCCTTCACGGGCTCCACTGAGGTGGGCCACCTGATCCAGAAAGCTGCTGGGGACTCCAACCTCAAGAGAGTCACCTTGGAGCTGGGTGGGAAGAGCCCCAGCATCGTGCTGGCAGACGCTGATATGGCTCACGCTGTAGACCAGTGTCACGAAGCCCTCTTCTTTAACATGGGCCAGTGCTGCTGTGCGGGTTCCCGGACATTTGTGGAAGAATCCATCTATCAGGAGTTTCTCGAGAGGACTGTGGAGAAGGCCAAGCAGAGGAAAGTGGGGAACCCCTTTGAACTGGACACCCAGCAGGGGCCTCAGGTGGACAAGGAGCAGTTTGAACGAATCCTGGGCTACATCCGGGCTGGTCAGAAGGAGGGGGCAAAACTTCTCTGCGGTGGGGAGCGTTTTGGGGATCGTGGCTTCTTCATCAAGCCCACAGTCTTTGACGATGTGCAGGACGGCATGAAGATTGCCCGAGAGGAGATCTTTGGGCCCGTGCAGCCTCTGTTCAAGTTCAAGAAGATCGAGGAAGTGATTGAGAGGGCCAACAACACCAGGTATGGCCTGGCTGCGGCCGTGTTCACCAGAGACCTGGACAAGGCCTTATACTTCACCCAGGCCCTGCAAGCTGGGACCGTGTGGGTGAACACCTACAATATCGTCACCTGCCACACACCGTTTGGAGGCTTTAAGGAATCCGGCAACGGGAGGGAGCTGGGGGAAGACGGACTTAGAGCCTACACGGAGGTGAAGACTGTCACCATCAAGGTTCCAGAGAAGAACTCCTGAGAACGGCCACGTTGGAGGCCCCGCCATGTCCTGCAGTTCCGCAACATCCCGCCAGCGGGTGGAAAAATCTGACTTTAGCCCGAGTTCCAAAGGAAGTGTTACAAGGAGTCTCAGCAAATAAAGTGGTTAAATCAGAGCTGTTCTTTTTACAGTATAGATGGTGGCTGGGCTCAGAGTGCCACCCACCTCGTCCCCAAGTCCCAACCTCACTGATGACCTTCCAGTTACTGCCAGGAAACCTTAGGAGTCGCTAAAGGTGTATTTAAAGCCGTTGATTGTAGCCATACAGAGGAATGATGAATTAATCCAGCCTGAGCACAGAACGCAGAGAGAAAGAAGACAGCCTCGTGCTGAAATGCCCAAACCTGTATCTGTAGTAGAAAGCAGAGCGGTGGCCAGCAGGGACTGGGGGGAAGGGAGGAGGGGAATGACTGTGGCTATTGGACCCCTCTTGAGGAGGTCTTGAAAATGTTGTGGAATTGGGCAGTGGACATGGTTGTACAACGTTGCAATTGTACTGATTCACTACCGAATTATACTCTTAATTAGGGTATGGGAATTAATTTCATTTTAAAATTAAAATAAGCACAATGTTCTATTTGCAAATCTGTCTCATTTTTTTTTCTCTCTCTCTTGAACATTTTACTATCTCTGGACCTTAGAGGACCCAGGTAGTCATCTGGCCCCTCCTACCCTAAGTTTCTGGGCTTCTCTTTGATTTCTCTTGACTGATGTACACAGACCCATGCGAATATGGCTATCATTTCTGGCCAGAGCAAATCCATATTATTTAGGGGCTTTCACTGTATCCTCCTAACCTTTACTGAGTCACCTCACGAGGAGGGTTTGCTAGCTTCATTCCTCAGAGTTCTCTATTGCTACTCTTGCTGCTTACACACACACACACACACACACACACACACACACTATGGTGGTAGTCATGGCAAATTCAGGCCTGCAGGTCAAGGTCAGAAGCTGAAGCCCAGCTGTCTCCTTGTCTTCTGTTGTAGTTTATGGTGCTTACAAATCCTTCCAAGTTTTTAAGTCTGCTTGTTGTGAATGCCATACCTGTGAATGCTACACTCTGTGAACACTGCAGTCTGTGAATGCTACAGCCTGTGAACGCTGCAGTCTGTGAATGGTACAGTCTGTGAAAGCTATGCTTTATGAACGCTACAGTCTGTGAATGCTACAGTCTGTGAACGCTATAGCCTGTGAACGCCACAATCTGTGAATGCTACAGTATGTGAACGCCACAATCTGTGAACGCTACAGCCTATGAACGCTACAGTAAGTGAATGATACACTCTGTGAACGCTACACTCTGTGAACACTACACTCTGAACGCTACACTCTGTGAGCGCTACACTCTGAACACTACAGTCTGTGAATGCTACACTCTGTGAATGCTATAGCCTGTGAATGCTACACTCTGAACACTACAGTTTGTGAACACTACACTCTGAATGCTACAGTCTGTGAATGTCCTACCCGTGAAAGCTTCTGTCTGTGAACGCTCAGGGATGCTACACTCTGAATGCTATGCCCTGGTTACCTTCTCAACAATCTGCCATCAAAATGATTTTGTTTTTCAGAACTTGCTGTGTAGACAAGGATGCCCTTGAACTTTTGGTATTCCTGCTTCCATCTCCTGAGTGCTGGGATTACAGGTGCATACCGCCACAACCGGTGTTACAAGGTGCTGTGGACCAAATTCTGGGCTTTGTGCACAGTCTCTACCAGCGGAACTGTATCTCTGCCTTCCTTCGCTGTTGTAATGATAGCCATGACTTGGGTTTGGTCTGAAACGGCTTCTTGAGGGTTGTAGGTTTGTTTGGGTCTCACATCTCCCTTCCTGTGAGACTTCTCTAAGGTTGGCATGGCCCTGGCTCAATATCCTCCATGTATCTCCCTTAAGAGGCCACTGCAGCCATCTCTGCAACCATACTGTAACCCCATCACACTGTAGTGAGGGTTTCTGATTATGATGCTTTATCTTCACTGTCAGCTTGACTGATGCATCCCAGTCTCCCACAGAAGTGATAGCTAAACTGGAAAAACTCACCCTAAACGTAGCTGCTATCAGGGCCTGGGCATTCAGACTAAATTAAAGAGGGAGAAAGACGAGAGCAGGTTGATCTCTGCTACTCATGTCTTCTTCCTGGAGAAATGTGGACACAGTGTGGCGGGCTACTTCACACCCCACTGTCATGTGTCCCCTGCCAGGATAGACTGTGTCCTCTCAGACAAGGAACGGGGGTTTCCTCAGGAATCGACCTTCAGTCTGGCACATGGCCTGCAAGGTTGAGCTGGTAGAGACTGTAGTTTGAAAGCCATCCATGCATCCTTCCTCCAGACTCCTACCACGCTCATCCTTGGCCAGTGCTGTGCCAGGTGCCTTCATGCACTGCTTTGGCCTTAAAACAGTACTGTGAAGCAAGGCAGTTGGTTTGTATTTATTTATTTTTCCATAAGCAGTGGAAATTGAGTTTTTTTTATTTAAAAACATTTATGTGTATGTATGTGTGTGGACCTGTGTGCATGGGTGCCTGTATATGTGTATGCCTATGTGCATGGGTGTTCATATGTGTGTGTACCTGTGTGTTTGGGTGCCTGT